CCAACAACATGTACTTTGGTTGCTTATATCACAACTATGCAATTATGCTAATATATGGTAATGTCATCACCCTTGAAAAAATTGCTTTCCTCTGTTAATTTAGGAAGAAGATCAATAATGAAGTCATATGGTTTGGTCTTGCTGTTGGGTGATGTCTGTGTGTTGCTGAGCAACAGAAAAAGGAATCTTTCATACTTCCACCATTTCAAAGTCTGCTCCCTCAGAGCAGCCCCTTTCCCTTTAAGCTACAAACATGTGGAAAATTTTTCCAGCACAATATTTTTAAGGCAATAACAGCAGAGGTGTTGATTTACCCCTGAGAATGTAAACAGTTAGAGCTGGAGACAGTCATCTATATCCTGTCCTCCGCTACATTAATCCAATTCCATTTTAGCTAAGGGCAGCCTGAAGTTCATTATCCTCAAGAAGGTAGGGCTTGCTTGCCAAATATATGCTTTGCAGTAGTTATTAAGCTTCTAAATATTTTTTCATAGTTTCCTGTTACACAGTTCCAGTGTATTTTTTTAAAGAATCACTTAAAAAAACCCCACAAAACAAAACAAAAAACCAACAACAAAAAAACCCACCTCTATCATTGGTTTGAAACCTCTCACTGCAATTTAATGATGAAGAATTAAAGAAGCAGCAAGGTAATAAAATTATGGCAAAGGTCTTTGACTACTTCAAATTATTTTTTTTTTCTCAATTACAGACCAGTAAAGTCAGTGGGTTTTCTAAATCAGAACTCAAAAAGGCCATCATAGTAGGTAATGAAGTAAGTTTGCCTTTTTGCATTCTTGTTTTAGATAGGGATTTTATTAACTGCTCCTGCACAACCACAACCTACAGCTTATCTTGGCTGGCAGTCTCAAATTTTAATTCCATCCTAGAGCAAAGACACTGTTTTGCACATGTTTTTGTGCAGCACACACAACTCAGTTGCCAGTTGTGACACTGTTCAACTGCCCCAGAGTACAATCTGGAGTCCATGGATGTCCCCATGCCGGAGCCGGGAGTTGTGCCCAAAGAGGTCCATGACTCCATGGGAAGCTTGTGTTGGAACACTTTGTTCCTGGACTTTCATGTTGGGAAAAGCAGAAATGGTGAACTGACTGTAACTCCATTCCCTGTCTCCTGTGCTGCTGAGGGGTGGGGAGAAGGTAGAGAAATTGAGAGCAAAGTGATTTGAGCCCAGGAAGAAGGGAGGGTTGGGGAGAAGGTGTTGTAAAATGTAGTTGTTATGTCTTACCATGCTACTTGGATGAATGGTAACAAATTAAATTGATTTTTTCTTCCCCAAGTCTGTTTTGCCCATGACCATAACTGGTGAGTGAGCCGTCCCTGCCCTTCATCCTAATCCGTGCCCCCTTTGTTGTAACTCCCATCCCATCTCACCAGGTGGGGGGAGTGAGTTCAGGACTGCATGGTCCTACTGTGGTTAAACCACCACAGGTATTCAACAACTGTGCCAGCCAGCTCAGTCTCCTTTCAACAGGCTGGATTGCCTACCCAAAAATGTCATGCAGAAGATTCTCATTAATACTTTTCTGATGTCAAAAGGAAAAAAGGTGATGAAACTATACTACTCAAAGCTCAACCCATCCGTCAAGGGGCTGTTTGTTAAAAAATCACTCATAAGAGCTAGGACTGCTTAGCTCCTTCATGGACATATTCCTGGGAAAGAATGTATACTACTCTTTGGCCTAATAATGACATTTTTATACTCTAAGTACCTGGAGTTATAAATGATCTCATTCCATGTGGCAAGTTCTACTTTCTTATTTAATTTAACAGGGGTAAAATCCTGGCTGTAACAGGGCAAAGAATATGGATGCTCATACCAGTAGAAAACCATTTTCCCCACCTGATGCTTTTTAGAGTTACCAGAATATTTCTACCCAGCTCCCATTATTGCATATGTATTAGTTTGGTTTCTTGGGCCCATTTTAAAATAACCATTAGTACTTACCTGTTTCCAATTCTTCCTATAGAAAAGAAATTTGTTCTTCTCTAAATTTTGTAGCACTTTTATGACTAAAGTAGCAAGGAAACATACAAGTATATAAACAATGGACTGTCTTCATCCTTTCATCCAAATTGCATCAAGAGGCTAGTCTGCAGAAAGAGCTAATGATCTCATCAGCATAAGAACATATTACAAATTGGAATTCTAATAGATAATATCTAGATGCAGATTTATCATGTAATTATACAGTTGGAGAAATTGAATATTTTTATATGATTGCTTTTCCTGTTGCTGTAGCCTCTTGCAATGATCTCTTCAGCATTTAAATTCCTAGTTGCATTCAACAGACAGGGCTTTGAATGTTACTTGACAAGGTGGTTTTCAGTGAGGAAGGCAGGAAGGTGGCAATGAGGGAAAAAGGTAAGCTACAAATAGGTACAAAGGAACTGCAACCCATGGGATGTCTTTGCATTCTTTGTTAACATGATGTCGGCAAGTTGTTTTCATGTAGTTCACCGGTTAATATAATCTGTATATTACATAGTCCCCTAGCAGTTCAGCAGACAAGCAAACTGAAATAACAGTACACAATGAATTAACAATCCCTTGCTGGGTCTTCCTTGAATGTGTGGCTTCCGTAGCATTTGAATTCCTGCCCTACAAATGAAGCACCAGTTTTCTTCCATTGCCAATAAAATAAGAATTAGGAAATAGCTGATATGGCATAGCTATACTCAGTCATGTACCTACTTGTTTGTGCCATGTTATGCTCAGTCCCAACAGTCCTAAAAAAGAAATGTAGTTAGCTGTGAAACAGGGACCAAAACCACAAGTACTTGTCCCAGCCTATATTACAAGTTGCATCTGATGGAAATGACTGTCAGGGATGCTTGGAAACACATTTTAAGATTGGTGTTTCAAACCTATCTCAACATAAATGTAAAACAAACTTAAGTTCTACTCTCTACTTCTAATGCCATTCTCCTCTTCTCAGTTCTTGATTTTGAAAGGCATACGGTGGCAAAAACTCACAATTTTTACTTTAAACTCAATCAAAGCAAGGTAACCCCTGGGCACTCCTGGACACTCAGCTGTAGCTCTGCACATCTGCACAAAAGCCCAACAGCCAGACACCAGCACTGACACACTCCCTCTGCTCTCCACATCAGGCTAGGAGACACAACCCCTTTTTTTGGTCTGTGGAGGTACCAGAAGTACCATATCAGCCATGAATCTTTGCTGTGCTGTTTTTTTGAGATTTCCTTCTCAACAGCCTATCAAAAGTGATACAGCATAGCAGGTGAGAAACGGGCTGTTACCATTAAAGTAGCTGGCACAAACCCCTATAAAGAAATATCAGTCATGACTCTTTTTACTATTCATGACCTTGGGAGTCAAGGACATACGACAAAATGGGCTGCTGGAATTGTCATTCTCTTTTTATTTAATAGAGAACATTTCTCATCCATTTTCTAAACAGGTAGTGCTATTTCAAAACAAAAAAAAAATCAGAAACAAAGTCAAAATCAAAACCACACATATAGAATAACATAATAAATATTTTTCCTTTTGAAGATGATTGAAGTATGGGATAAATAAAACTTATTATATTATTCTGGATATTCTCCATAAACAGTTCATATCTAATAGTTTCTCCATTAAGCATTCAGATAATCAATGTACATGAGCTAAACTACTCTGGCACCAACTGGGTCTTTAGAGAGACAAGTTGGCTGGATAAATGAGATTTCACTGAAGAACAAACATACAGAAATTAGGTTCCTTAATGTTTATGCATCCGTAATTCTCTGTTCCTTAGGAAATACTTTCTCTTCCCTTCTCTCTTGGACTTAACCTACAGCAAATTGGTTTTACCTGAGCAGGGCTGGAAGCTGTTGGTGACATTGCTTAGTTTAGCTAAGGGACTAAGCAGCACTGGAAAACATCCACAAAGCCAACATTAGCTTACCGAGGCTAAGATCCCAAGAAACCCTTCTCAGAGTTGCTCTTTGCTCCTATAAAGGAATGTATTCGCTTCACTTGACTAAATCTAGCGTCTGTGAACATCCACACACTGCTTGTACAAGAAGGAGAGACTTCTATAGTGAAGAAATTAACCAAGGTCAACAACACAGAGGCTGTGGCATCACTCATGCGCAGAGGCTTGTCACACAGTTCCTATACGTCCTGTTTTAGCCCAGTGGTTACTGCTCGGACTGATTGGGCACCGAGGGAGCCCACTGTACAGCACTGCATAGCCAGGCAAATGTATCTTTGACTTAGAGATCTCACAGCCTAGGATAAATAGTAGTTCATCCCTGCAACAGAGTAAGACTGCAGCAAGTGGAAATGTTTCTTCTCTTCATGCCACATCCCAGCATTACTCCAATGTCATAAGAGAATACAACTGTAACTCATAATATTTAACAATAACTAGATAGGCAAAGAGAAAGCACATTTTCGTTCACTGCATTAGACATTAGCTTTTTGTTTAAGCAACTGAGTTGAAAAATCAGTTTCCTTCTGGTTTTTTTCAAGAATGCCATTTGTCTACAAAATTACTAGAAAACACTTCAATAACATACGCTCTACATAAAATAACTGAGAAGCTTTGACAATGATCAGCTCCATCCTAACCTGGACCTTAATCCAGCCAACATTTGTAACTGCTTTTCTGAGAATGCCTTCTCTTTCTTGTCACTGAAATATTGTCAACTCTAACTATTTCACATCACATCTTAATTAGTGTCTACCCTAAAACCTCAGTTTCTGTAGGCAAGTAGTTAAAATCTTAGTTTCCCTTTGCAGAGTGTCTAGGTCTCATACTTGCAGCAAAAGGCTTTGAAAACATGAATCATATCAGCCTAAAGAAAGAAAATAAAAAACCCTCAAAGGCACTTTTTTAGCAAAATTCTCACAACTTTTATGACAAGCTTATAATCTGAAGAGGAGAGGTGTCTGATTCATGATTTCTAAGTCCTTGGGGTTCAAATGTAAGGATCCTTCTTCTCCTTCCCTTTCCTCTTCTGCTTTTCTACTCTAGTACTTTGCATGAGGAATGAAGATGCCCAAATTTCTGGTAGAAATCATCTTCAGCACAATTCAGAGCTTCCTCATCGATGTAGACAGCTGGTCTCCGAGAAGCCAAAAAGTACTGCACTTTCCGCAGGCTCCATCCCTTCACATACTTCAGCCAGCCACTGACAGCAGCTGTAGACCTGCCGACGCCAGCATTGCAATGAACGTAGACAGTGTGTCCATTCTCCAGTAGCCCATGCAAGAGGTAGACAGCTTGTGGTAACATCTGTATTCTTCCTAAGGTTAAAAACAAGGCATGTTCATTTGCATTTGAGAAAGCTAGGCTCATGGCTGAGATGATTATGTCTGTACAGCCTGATGCACTGTGAATCACAATAGCAAACCCGACATATTTTGGTGGTCTTTGGTTTTTGTTTTTTTTTCAAATGACCTTCTACCCTAACTTTTGTTTCTTCTGGCAACATAGATTTGGATTGCACAAAATGTGCAAAATGCCCCGAGTCTTCTCTAAAGATATATTCAAATTAACACTGAACATGTGTGGCATATTCATTTTCACAGGGACTGAGATAAGGCAGCACAAAAACACAAAAAGCACATCAAATGGTACATCTTACATAGCACTGAGGTTAGCAAGTCAAAAGTGCAATGCTTTTTAGTACCAGAGGTTTGTGAAGCTACCTATGTACTGCTGCTTTCCAAAACATTGTAATGAAGGCCATTATGTCAATAACAAGGGAGGGAGGGAGAGCAGAAGAGTATTTTCCTGTAAAAATTAATACTGTTACAATTTAATTTTGTTCTAAGTATACAGTTAAACAACACAGAACAGTCTTTCTCACTCCCAAAGGGATGACTATACCATATTTCCTGATGTCTTTCTCCCTCTTACCCTGGGAACTGAAGCTGCAGATAACAGAGCAGAACTTTTCCTCATGGCGCAGATGAGCACTGACATTAAGCCTTCTCAAATCCCTGGTTTAAGGTCTCTTATCTTCCCTGATGTCCTATTACTGATACGACAGTCCTCTACTTGTGGCAGCAGTGTTTTGAAAGCACTCACTTTGTGGGCTACTCACTCAAAAACACACTCACTTTCTAACCTACTGGTTGGAAATAAGATTTTGAACTGAGCATTTCAACAGGGGAATTAAAAATAATAATTTATGTTTGTTACAACATGAGGTTCTATAGATATTCTACATTAATTACAAATAATTATATAAATTACTCTATTCAGATAATTTATCCCAGTATCAGATTGGGATACTATAGTTAAAGAAAAAAAAATTATTGGGGGAAGAGAATAGCAGAAAGGGGCATACAGAACTGTCTCTCCATTTTTAACCAGCAACAGTGGCAAGTTGTCCTTTTGTACAAGATTGCAGTCTTCCACCTACACAACATATTTTCATTATACAGCTGAATTCAAGCTGAAAGCAAAAACAGTCAAGAAGATATCAGTGTTGGATGGCTTCAATCTCAGACACACATATACTGCCAGACACAAAGTACTTTAGATGGCTTCTCCGCCTACAAGAAAATCTAAGTTATTTGTTAGAGACAACACACACACAGAAATTATACCTTGTGCATTCGCCATATTTTTACACAAAGTTTACACAGAAAAAAAAAAACAACAGTCATGAAAGTGACAGATTAGTAATTCAAAGGGTTTGTTACTATGAATTTAGCTGCAAGAGTGGCCGAGCATTACCTGCGGTGCTCATGTCTGGGGTTGGCATCCAGACATAAGCAATACCTTCCTCTTTATACAGTTTCATGAGGACATCAGGGCTCATGGGTTCTGGGTATCGGTTGCAGCCCCAGGAATTCTGAACAATGTCCCATTCGGTCTGGAAGTTCATCACAGCCGTGACACCCAGCTCATGCTTCAGCTTGATGGTCACATGCTCCAGCTGCCGAGGGCAACTTCCCAGCCAGACGTTTGGCAGAATTCTAGCATTGAGAAAACGTTGCAGTGGGATTGATCAAAATATCTTAAGAAAGAAACTGCCAAGTTCAGCAGCCTTCCAGCTCCAAACCTGCTTAGCAACATCACACAAACACTGATAAGTGCAGCACTTTCATGTCATGCAGTAAGCAGCTTCTTATTTCATTACAGTTTAGTTGGTAATGTTTGATGTTAGAGATCAAGTTCCTAATCTGCCACAAAGAGTGAGATGGTCTCAGAAAAAATTCAGAGCATAATTAGTAGCATAGATCTCCAAGGCATCCATCAGCAAGTTTGCAGTAGCTTACTAACATCACCGGTTAGAGTAAGAAAACTCTGAAGATTCATGCAATTTGCACAAAAAAAAAGAGACCTAAAAGATTCACATGATCCAGATCTGAATTACTTTAGTAATAATTCAAATACATAGAACATTTGTAGCTACCACTATAATGAGGAAAGTAGACAGAAAAAATACCCCAACTTAAACTACCCTTCTGTGAGGAAACTCAAATATATTTGAGTAATTTTCTTCTAATTTTTCTCTGCTCTTGTGTAGTCTAGTGGGAATCAAATGCAAGATTACAATACATGTTTAGCTTCCCTCAAGGCCTGAAGAATCAGAAATTTTGCAAGAAAACACGAAAGAGATGTGTAGGATGGATGAATGTCCATATTTCTGGTATCTAAATCAAACTTAAGAATTCCATAGTTTTCCCATTGTTAACTATGATAAAACTATTTTATGTCTCAACAGATTTTGACATAAATATAAACTGACTATTAAGAGGTTTGTTTCCATATAAGAATTTTTAATCTGCACACACAATTAAAGTGACAGTACCTACAATAGATTATTTACATGCACAATTTATTAGTGATCTACTTCAATTTTTTTTTGTTTGTATAAATTTCTGTTGTGAACATGCAGTCCACAAACTACACAAAATATCCCTGCAGCTGAACATACAATTTTGTAAAGATTATTAACTGCAAAAGAATGAAGCCAATCTACAACAAAAGCAAGATCCTCAAAAATAAAATGTCTGCCATGCATTTCTTACTAGTCTTTTCCAATTTTAATCACAGGAAAAAATAAGAAAAGTTGTATGTTTATTCAGGAGCAGTTAGTCATATAAATAGCACTTAAATCATCACGTAGCTATTTCCATTCCAATACAACAGTAATGAGTGCTTACTAGTATTTAATTAAGACCTGTAATTGGCAATGATTAAATCCTGCTATGTTACCACTGAAAGATTGTCAAAAAGGAAAACTCAAATCCAGGAAGTACTTATTATTATTGTTTCCTGTATTTTGGTTGTATCCACAGTGAGTTACGTGCCAGCCACACAAACACAGTCTTCGGCCTTAACAGCCCCTTTGTCAGTACAACAACAAACTTGATCTCAGTTTATGGTAACTGAGTCACAACTTTCTGGATCACAGATAATGAATGAAAACCTGAAAATTTAGATAAATCTGTTACGTAGCAAATCACCATTTCAACCATGTTGCTCTGACTGTGAGATCAAGTGGAGATGTGACTTAGTTGTTTCACATCTACATTCTGGTCTAGAATGCAATGAGAGTATTTCCCACTCCTAATCAAAAACACATTTGTTCCTAAGCAGGCAGGAAGCTTTGACCCAAAATTTCAGAAATTAAGATTTACTCCTTGAAGTAATTTCCTTTGTCACTTTTCTTACGCTTCTGAACACTACCTTTCTAAAGGAGAGAAGACATGAAAAGGAAGAAGTTTTAATACTCAGGCTCTGGATTTCTTAAACTACAAATTAAATCCAGTTCATTTACTAAGAAATACCAATACCCAGTGGACTCCATGGCAACTTGAAGGAAATACAATGAAGCACAACAATTGTGTATTACCACTATATTCAAGACACAATCCCACATGTTGGTCCAGGAAGGGAGCTTCACAAAATTACCCAAAATCCATCATAATCAGCTCAGGCATTCCCACTGACCAGTGGGATTAGGGAAGGTCCACTGCAATAATTACTTTGCTGCTTCACTTCCCACATGCCAGCCCCACACCAAACCCAATCCTAACATGAAAGACTGAACCCTGTCAGGCTTCTGCTGCAGGAGTCCGTCGCAATGGTTAGAGCATTTCAAGGTGATGAATGCAAGTTAAAGTGCCCCACAGATGCTGATGAATGGCTAGAGATGAGCAACGCTCACAAAAATCCATAGCAGGGAAAGAAAAATGGCAATATCACTAATACCTTATGACAATAGGAGGATACTCTTTCAAGAACAAGAACATTAGTATCCTTCCTTCAAAGGCTTTCCTGGAGACTCATACATATGTAATTCTTGTGATATTTTGGGAAACATCTAATACAGAATGTTACCTTGAAAGGAGAGCAAAAGCATGTTTTCTAGCATTTGATAGAATCAGGAGCGACTAAAGGGTTCCCAAGATAAGTAAAATTCTGGGTAGTACTCTTGCTTACAGATAACTCCATGCTTTATATTTTTTTCCCCAATGATTACTTACTGGGTGAATATCACAGCTGCGCTATCTGCAAGACCACCGGGATACACAACATGTGTTTATTCTGGTTTTGTAGCCTAAAGGGTCTTGTTCATGACAAGACCTCCTGTATTTCTCAGTAACAATTGCATTTACCAAAGAATCTGATGAGTTTTTACCACTGTCTAAAAACGTTCCCTATATTTAGTCAAACTAGTGACGGCATTCAGGGAATGATCAAAACAGCATATATAGGACAGACAACTCTGTGAATTATTTCTCCAACCAGGTCATAGAGTTTAGCCTTTGAGAGGATCAAGATGCAGCCTTGACCTTGGTCTTCAAGCCCCTTATTTACGCACCTCCAAATGACTGTAAAGTCTTGGTCTTGCTGGACAAGGCTTAACTGCTCTTTTACCAGGAAAACAGTCTATGCAGAAAAGAGTACTGCAGAGCTGTCCTATCAGCCAATTTATGTAAAAATCCTGGGATAATCCTACTGCATAGTACCTATGTTTCTGTTTAGCTTTATCTGGTTCATACTTTGACTTTGTCTTACATCAGAAGGAAAGAATGAAAGGGTCAGCGCACGTGCGAGTACAGAAACTGATGAAGAGTTTAGCAGCTATATTTTATATATAGATTTTTGTTAGCTCTACTGAGTGCTCAATTACACTGAGGACCAGTACATATCAAACAAAGCAAGAAAGTGGTAATTTTATTTTTACATCTGTTTCCTCAATCGTACAACTTTTCATTTTCCTTTCCCAGTGTGGCCTTTCTTCTTTAAGTTGCCTCTGCAATTCAGTAGGTAACTAGATTTTAGTCACAAGAGTATTTGGCATGGGAAAGAGATCTCTTTTACTTCTCCCCCTCAACTGTCATGTAATAGTGCTCTGAGCTCTCCAATAGCTGCTGCTTTCCAGCTCACATGTGGTTATTTTCCAGCTGTAGATTAAGTGATCCCTACATACAGTTCAAAAACATATAAGGATTATGTGTGATGAATAAACCTATAAACTTTTCAGCTGTTAACCCCTGTCATATTTCCTAAATATCACAACAGGATGATGTTTCAACAGAATTCTACTTAGAATTCTGTTTTAACATAAAAACAGTACTTTTTCATCGTACCTGTTAACTCCCTATGTTACTAAGGATAACAAAGCACTCTCGGTCCCAGAAGACACGGTCAATTCAGTCACAGACAGTTTATCAATGAAGAAATCACCTACTGTAACATCAAAAATATTCAGATAACTTCAGAGATTAAGACTTGTAGATTGTCTAAAAGCCCTTTCTTTAAGGCTACTTTCTTCAAAGTTATTTTCAGCCTGCCCTACACTTCAGTTCTGTATCAGTAATACAGAGATAATATTTACCTACCTGAAGGGGACATTTGGGGATTAAACGAATGAATGAATGTGAGAATCTTGAATTTGTGGTAACAAGAACTAAATGTTGGGCAGGTGTTTGCTCAATTTACTTGACTTACAGAGCCCAGACTGAAGGCTGACATGTTAAAAACCTGCCTTTTGATTTGTAAACTGAGAAAACAAACAATGATTTATCATTACCAGGGAATAAGGAACACCCCGAAATCACTTGCACAGTTATTTTCCAGCTGTCATCACACTTAAATTATTTTAAATGATGCAGATACATATTGCACTGGGTTGCTTCCCCCCAGGACCCTGCACAGCCAAGGTTAAATTATAACAATTCACTATGAATGCCTCTGAAAGAACAAATGCATTCCGTTTAATCAATGCATGCAAATAGTCTTCCCATCCCTAAGGAGAAAATGAGTCTGAGGCAATGAAAGATTAGCATTCTGATACTGATCCAGATTGTCATTTTCAGGGTAGAGGAAATGTTCCCAAACCATGACGCTGCGTACCTTTGAATCTTAGACCTCCAGAGAGAGCACAAAACCAACCCAGGACTATAGCTGTAGGGATCCAATTCACAGGGAGGGTGACCTGCCCAAGGGAAGATACCTGGTTACCACACCTGGCTGTCAGCTCCTCCTCCATGACACAGGTGTCTATGCTTCTTCTTAAGCAGATCCTGTATTACTTTTGTTGATAATTTTTAAGGCAAATGGGCACCAAATTCAAGTTTCCTTAAAATGCTGAATTGAAGCTGGGATGACTCTGGCTCTATTGCCAGATCTGTTCAATCGTCAGTGTACTAGGAACAGGTATCTTACAAGCTCTCCTAGAATCAGTCAACCTTTCTAAGGAGCAACAGTTCTTACAAAAAACCATAGGATTCAAGCCTTTGGGGAACACATTTCATCAGAACATCAGGTACAATATTTCAGATGTCCTTTTTGCCCTATAGTTGCCAGCTTTAATCGAGAAAGAAGACTTTGCCAAACTAAGCAAAAATACTAAGGTATTTTTCATTGGTTATTGGCAACAGAGTGATCCATCAACCATTCAATCTGTTTATATCGGTAATATTTTTGACCCAGGTCCAGAATATTGTTTTAAATTAAA